TCACCGCAGAAGAAGAAGTTAAGGCATTGGGGAATTTCAACAGAGGAAACTACCAAGGAGGTGGTAATTTTAATTCTATGGGACAGAGACATCCAGGGCTCTCATGGAGTTCTTCAAATGGTATCTTAAATCATGGCAACAACAAAATCCGAGAGCATCAGTGCAAGGACCTCCTGGCTTCTAGAACCAACAGAGGCAACCATACCGGCCTCCACAGCCCAATAACTCAAGTTTAGAAGATCTAATGAAGGAATTCATAAGTAAATCAGATGAAAAACTTGAGACTCAAGGAACCGCTATCCGGGAGCAAGGAACAACCATCCGGAATCTAGAAAGATAAATAGGGCATCTCGCATCATTGTTATCAAAAAGAGCTTCAAGGACGTTAACGACAGACACTGAAAAGAATCCAAAAGAGACGATCAAGGTCATATCTCTCAGGAGTGGGAAAACATTAGCAAAGCCCATTGCAAAACCAAGGGCTAAGAAAGGGATTAAACCAACTAAGATAGCAGAAGAACAGAAAATTGGTGAATCTCTACCAAAGGAGGATATTAGCAGCAAGGAGGTTGCTAGGCAGAAATTAAGCAGCGCAGTTGAAGAAAGCAAGAACATGCCAATGTTACCCTTTCCTCAAAAGATGAAGCGGGAGAAACTAGATAAATGCTTTGGAAAATTCATGGAGATGCTGAAACAACTGTATGTGAACATCCCGTTCACCGAGGTGCTCACCCAAGTGCCAGCCTATGCAAATTTTTTGAAGGAAATCCTTTCAAGTAAAAGGAAGCTCGAGGAAACTAAAGTGGTCAAACTCAATTCCCACTACAGTGCCATTCTACGAAAAACAATTCTTCAAAAGTTTGGGGATCCTGGCAGTTTCACTATACCCTGCTCATTGGGGAGCGAAAAGTTTGACAATGCCTTATGTGACTCAGGTGCATCCATTAACTTGATTCCATTATCGGTGTTCAAGAAATTGGAAGAAGAACTAGGAGTGATCAAATATATGCCGGTATCTTTGCAACTGGCTGATCAGACCATAATCATACCAGAGGGCATAATTGAGGACATTCTAGTGAGGGTGGACAAATTTGTCTTCCCATTAGACTTCATTGTAGTAGACATGAAAGTGAATAAGGAGGTACCTCTAATCCTAGGGAGACCATTCCTTTGCACTGGACAGTCTATTCTTGATATATATGAGGGTCAACTCATGCTACGAGTGGGAAATTAAAAAAATGATATTTCAAATGAAGAGAATAATGAAATACCCGTGTGATGAGGCATCTGCCTATGCTTGTTTCAAAATTGATGTAGTGGGAGAGTTAGCTAAACAACACAAGCTGGTGGCAGATTTATTAGAGAGATGCAATAGTCAATCAAGTACAGCAGAGGATGAAGATCCTAAAATCAAGAAGGAATTTAAGGCACTGGAAGATGAGAACCAGGTTGTAGACGAATAAGAATTCGAGAAAGAAAAGATCAAGCTTAAGCTGGAATTGAAAGTACTCCCGACACATTTGAAATATGTTTTTTTGGAGACTAACAATTTTCCTGTGATTGTTGTTGCTGATTTGACAGGTGAACAGGAACACATGCTCGTGGAGTTACTGCGGAATCATAAAAATGCAATCGGTTGGAACATAGTTGACATTCTGGGAATCAACCCTGCAATATGTATGCACAAGATCCTGTTGGAAGAGGGGAGCAAACCGGTAGTGCAGTCCCATCGTAAATTGAATAAAAACCTTGAGAAGGTGGTGCGGAAAAAGATACTCAAATTGTTGGACATATGTATAATATTTTCCATCTCTAACAGCCAATGGATCGCCCCGTACAGGTTGTGCCGAAAAAGGGGGCATGACGGTGGTGAAAAATGAGGACAACGAGCTGATTCCTACCAGAACAGTTACTGGTTGGAAGATGTGCATAGACTACCGAAGGCTAAATGATGCAACAAGGAAGGATCACTTCCCTCTTATGTTGGAGAAGGTGGCAGGGCATGGATGTTACTGCTTCTTATATGGATATTCATGGTACAAACAAATACCCATTTCTCCCGAAGATGTTGAGAAAACCACCTTTACCTGCCCTTCCGGAATCTTTGCATACCGGAGAATGCCTTTCGAACTATGAAACGCACCAACTACATTTCATAGATGCATGATGTAAATCTTTTCAGATTTGAATGGGAAGTGTCTCGAGGTGTTCATGGATGACTTTACTCTATTTGGAGATGACTTCAGAGATTGCTTGAGGAATCTAGCACTTGTTCTGAAATGATGTGAGGACACTCACCTAGTACTCAACTGGGAAAAATGTCACTTCATGGTTAATGAGGGGATAGTCGTGGGCCATAAAGTCACAGCTGAAGGTATTGAGGTCGATAGAGCTAAAGTAGATGTGATAACTAAGCTCCCATCACCGACTTTAGTGAAGAGCATCAGAAGTTGTTTTGGGGCATGCATGGTTTTATAGAAGGTTCATCAAGAATTTCTCCAGTATTACCAAGGCCTTAACAACATTACTTGCCAAAGATGTGAAATTTGTATTCGATGTAGAGTGCCTCAGAGCATTCAAACTGATCAAGAAAAAGGTAGTGAGTGCTCCCATAATAGTGAATCATGATTGGAGCGAACCGTTTGAGATCATATGCGATGCCAGTGATGTGGAAGTGGGAGCAGTGCTAAGAAAGGAGAGATAAACTATTTAGACCCATATGTTATGCAAGCCAGACCTTGAATGATACTCAGGTAAACTATGCTACCACGGAGAATGAGTTCTTTGCAGTGGTCTTCGCTTTTGATAAGTTCAGAACCTATTTAGTGGGAAGCAAGGTAATAGTTCATACTGATCACTCAGCACTGAAGTATTTTCCGAGTAAGAAAGAATCCAAACCGCATCTGAGTCGGTGGGTATTGTTGCTGCAAGAAATCAAAGACAGGAAGGGCACAAAAAATCAAGTGGCTGACCATCTGTCGCGATTGGAGAAACCACCTGTTGAAGCGGTGGACATTCAGGAAGAGTTCCCAGATGAGCAGATTTTTTCTATTGGAGCGGTCTCCGATAGACCGCCATGGTTCCCCGACATAGCTAACTTTTTGGCTAGTGGGTGGCTACCACTCGACTTGACCTCTGACCAAAAAAGGAAGCTAGAAAGCGAGGTAAACAAGTTATCTCTGGAATGATCCCTTTTTGTTTAAATTATGTGCAGATGGTGTAATTCGGATATGCATACCAGAAGGGGAAATGGGATGTATTTTGTCCCATTGTCATGATGGAGCAGCTGGAGGACACTATGGATGAAATAGGATAGCAGCGAATGTCATGGAGGCCGACTTTTACTGGCCATCTCTGTACAAGGATGCAAGATCTTACGTGGTTTCATGTGACAAGTGCCAACAAACAGGTAACATTAGTAAAAAGGACGAGATTCCTCTGAATTCCATTTTGGTGTGCGAAATCTTCTATGTCTGGGGCATCGACTTCATGGGCCCCTTCCCATCGTATTCCTATAAGTACATCCTATTGGCCGTTGACTACGTCTCTAAGTGGGTCGAGGCAATCCCCACTAGGACCAAAGATGCTCGGGTAGTATGTGAATTTATTCGAAAGAATATTTTCACCCGCTTTGGAACCCCCCGAGTCATCATCAGTGACAATGGGTCACATTTTATAAATAAACAATTTGCCACTATGTTGTCTAAATACGGGGTAACTCATAAAACAAGAACCCTATATCATGCTCAAACTAGTGGGCAGGTAGAAGTAACTAACCGTGAACTCAAAAGAATTCTAGAAAAAATGGTTAGTGATTCCAGAAAGGATTGGTCAGTAAAGTTGGATGAAGCTCTATGGGCGTATAAAACAGCATTCAAAACAACCATAGGGACTTTACCCTTCAAGTTGGTGTATGGAAAGTCATGTCACACACCTGTAGAGATAGTGCATAAGGCTTATTGGGCAATTAAATTGCTTAATCTTGATCTTAATGTTGTAGGTGAACACAGAAGATCACAGGTGAATGAGCTGGAGGAATTCAGATAGGACGCATATGAGAATGCGCGAATTTTCAAGGAAAAAATGAAGAAATGGCATGACCGTCTGATTAAACCGAATGAATTTCATGAAGGGAAAAATGTATTACTGTACAATAGTAGATTCAGATTATTCCCAGAAAAATTTAAGTCTGGATGGACGTGACTGTATGTGGTGAGACATGTATCACCATACGGGGCGATTGAGATCCACAACATGGACGAAACAGAGAGTTTCAAAGTGAATGGGCACCGGCTAAAACCATATCTTGCTGGAGGATTTGCTCAACAATCCTCGAGCATCATAATCAGTTGAGGATGCCCGGTTGAGTCAAGCTGACGACTATAACTCAGAACTACCTCTAACTCTTCTACTAGTTTAACTTTTCCTTTTTGTTTCTTTTTTGTAGCGTAGAGTAGGTAGAAGTTAGTGTATATTATGACTTGGTGGGTGCAGGAAGGTATATATTGCGGAATTTCAGAATTGAGGTTGTTAAAAGGCTCCTTATGAGTGTACACGTATGCAACCACGTACCTGGAAGGGTACCTCACACATTTGGTCGCGCACATGAAGACGTCAGCAACGCTAGGGCATACGCGGCCGCGTACCTGAAGGGTAGACCACGCACATGATCGTGCATGTGCACTAGTGTACTACCATACGTGCATGACCGCGCACTCGACTGCACACAGGTAAGTGCTCTCCCCTTTTAATTTTTGGCTTAACCCTCAACCCCCCTTCTAATCTCTCCCCCTTTCTCTCATCTTTCCCTAACACAACCCCTAATCCACCCCAATCTTTCCCCATATCTCTTTGCAACCAATCACATACCACCCCTCCCTCAAGTGTGCTTCTTCCACATTATTTTAGCAAATTATACTACTAGGCGGTCTTACCAGTAGCTATTTTATTAATAATAAAATAAAAACCACAAAGGAATAGTATAAGTAAGGGGAGCAAAACCTACAGTAGTGTTGCCTCTATGCCTAGGCTATATAATCATCCCTCTGCGCCTCCGTCGCCTTATGATGGTAGCCTCATGCTGAGAATGTGGCTGCCAGCAAAGTATCACGAGAGCGAATGATCTCATAGCCGTTAGGATATTTCCCTAAGGCATAAGACAAATAGCAAACATATACTGAGCTAGACCTTACTTTACAATTCCTATTGAGGCATGAACAACCTCATCTTTTAGCAAGCATGTAAAAAATAAGAACTCGAAAGAAGTAAGTACTCTATGATCATCATAGAGTTTATAGCACACTCTATGATGATATTACATATGATAATTCTTAGAAAATGATAAAATAAAACAAAGTAGAAATTGGATTCTTGCCCCTCATTTATGATAGTTGTGAGTTCTTCAAATTGTAACTCCTTAGAATCCTCTTCAGCTATCTTCAATAAATCTTCAAAATTCCTCATTTCTTCATCAATCCTCTTCAACATGTGTTCAACATACATCATTTCTTTCTGGAACGGTCGGACGTCGTGGATCTGGTTGTGGCTGCTGCATTTTGCTTTGCAACTCGCATTGGGAGTTTCCTAATGACAACTCTTTCATTCATATTAGTGTTGATAGTGGAGGCTTGATATTGAATATTTTTGTTGATGTTCGTACCTGAAGATTGATGCACTTGTGCATCTATTGGGTGTGCTAATTTGTATGGTGTTAGACTGTCTATTGTATCTAAGATTTCCCTATCATTTGCTCTAATCCTAGCCTTACTTGAATGCTTAAAAACACTCTCTTGGTTGCCAAATTGTTTGGTAGCAGAAGTTTGAGTATCTTTCTTACCTTGTCCTGCTGGTCAATCCACTGGAAGCGGGCCGCCGCCTTTACTTACCTTGACATCACTATCTTTAAAAAGAACTTCATCATCAACCTCTTCATCCTCAACTTGATTAGCCCACAAATTTCTTTGGAACATCACTCTATGTATGAGCTCTCTTTGATCTTGTGCATTGTCATGTTGGCCAATTTGCACATTGTTCTCCTCCATCATATCCTCTTTTACCACCAGAGGCGTATCCAGGATTTTAAGAATATGGGTGCACCATTATCTTTAAGATAAATGTTTGGTTCGATTATATAAAATTTATGGTGATAACAAGTTCACGAGCAAACTATATTAATATTATATTCACAAGAAACATCATTAACTTTACAATTGTCCTCGACGAGTTTTCATACTTTGAAAACGGTCAATAATAGCATTATTACTTATAGTTTTAAATATCTTACGCTCTATATAGCAAACTAAACAATCATTGAGAAAATCATCATCCATCCTATTACGTAGATCATTTTTGATGTACTTTATTGATCAGAATGCTCTTTCCACTCTTGCGGTAGCAACAGGTATAAGCAAAGTCAACTTCACAAGCAAATAAATAAGTAGCCAAGTAAGATCCAATTTTGTCACTATCATCACTCTAGCAAAATCCTTAATCCCCTTCAGGTTAAGAAATCTACTATCACACTTTTGAGCATAGATGATGAAACTATTAAGTTGGAAACCGAGTTCTGTTGTCACCAAATTCACTTAGATAATAATCTGCCAACTTCATTATCCTGTCCTTATCAAAATTAGCAAATGAATCAACCGGATTCAAACTGGTCATACCAAGTAGTAAGTCAGTAGTCACAACATCAAAACGATCATTAAACTCTTGAAATTCCAAATCAATAACCGTATAAAACACTTCCACACGAAAGTGATGTAAATATGTAACTTCGAACCTCTTACACTTCGACTTTCCTAGAGTATAGTCTTCATCCATTTTGGGAATTAGAATATCATATTTACTACAAAATGAGCACACCTCATCCAACAAGGAGTTCCATTCAGTTTCTCTCATCATTTGCAATCGTTTCTTTGCAAGGTCAAGCATTCTCATAACATTAACAATATCTTGATCTTTCTTTTGTAAAGCTTTGTTCAATTCATTTGTAAATAATAACACCTTAAACATCAAGTGCAACATAAAAATAAATCCAAATTCTTGAATCTGGCTTAAAAGATTTCCCGCTGCAAATCTATCAAGATGATATGGACAGTCACGCTTCATATCTTTAAGCACATTAACAATTGAAGGAAATAAAACCATCAAATTGTCCAAAGTTTTAAAATAAGACCCCCAACGAGTATCACCCGGTCGTTGGAAGCCACGTTCTTGATTCAAACCTTGCCCCGTATATGCTTCTCCAAATTTAAGAAAATCTTCCAACTTATCTGCTTGATGTTGTCGAAGTGACTCCATGCGCTTAAATGAAGATCCAATAGTATTCAAAACATTAGTAACAACATAAAAGAAATTATCCACATCCGAATGCTTTTTTAGAAAGAGCTACAAGTGCTAGTTGCAATTGAAGAACAAAACAATGATTACAATATGCAGAGGGAGTATCTTGCAAAATTAAAGACCTGAGACCACTTATTTTTCCTTACATATTACTAGCTCTATCATAGCCTTGTCCATGTATCTTGTATCTAATTAATGAATAATCCAAAAGCAAAGAATAAATTGCTTTTTGTAATGATGAGGAAGAAGTATCATCCACGTGGACTAATACCCAAGAATCGCTCTATCACCATTCCACTTTTGTTGACATATCGCAAAATTAAGGCCATTTGCTCCTTATGTGAGACATCCTTTGATTCATCAACCAATATTGCAAAATAATCACCATCCAAATATTCAATGATAGCTTTAGTTGTTTCTTTAGCACAAGCCTCCACAATCTCCTTTTGAATTGTTGGACAAATCATCATATCATTTTGTGGTGCATGGCGTAATATTACTCTTCCCACATCCGGATGCCGATTCCCGTGCCATTTCAAAAGTTCAAGAAAGCCACCTTTATATTCAGATTCTTCACTTTCATCGTTTCCACGAAATGGAAATCCCGAAATTAAAAGAAACCTCGCCACATCAATTGAGACATTTAAGCGCATTCGGTAATCACCTTTTACTTTTTCACTTTGCTTATCAAAAGAAGATTGAATCGACTGACGGTTGATTTTTCAAATCTAGCATCCTATTGAAGCATTTGTGATGGATACTATTTACTTCACCAACATGTGCTTTGAATCTTTCCACACCCTTGTTCCAACCCCTAAAACCATCTTTTGTAAATGCATCCCCTGTATTTCCACGACTTTCAAGTTCATTCTTCAATAAATAACAACACAAACAAAATACCGCATCTGCTTTTATGCTATACTCCAACCATTGAGAATATGGTCCCTTAAACCAAGTGGGACTAAATTGACGCATTTTACTCCCAATCTTAGTTTTAGGAAAGGCATGACCAATCGGTTGACAAGGCCCTTTGTTTATATAATATCTCCTTACTTCGTCTCGAATATTAGGACCGTAATCCGAAATTGGCATTCTTTCTTTGGGATCCGGTTCAAAAGATTTCAAATCAAGCACTTTATCCACATTTGAAAGCAGAGAAGGATTTGTCTCTCTTTGAACTTCCGGAGCGATTTGTGAACTCATGGATGACCAACTAGCACTAGAACTTGGTTCACCATTTTTCGGCTTCGTGAGAAATCTATCCAATCTTATGGATCGTTCCCACAAAATTAAATATTCACACTTCTATTTAATCTATCTTAATTCAAATAAATTGTTAAATTCAAATCAATCATATTAAAGCATGTCAGTCAACATATGAAGAAGTGATAGCACAAAAATTAGGCATTTATAGTTCTGTGCATATATGTTTGGCATTTTAATTGTATTTGGATTTGAGCAAGTTCTTCAATAAAGCTGCAGCAAGAGAATTAAAATACAGAGCAAGGAGAGAGTAATTAGATACCTGAGGCTGAGAATTTTAAAGGAACGTGGTCATGGAGAAGAAATGTTGCTTTCTTGAAGAATCCATTCACAGAGACTAGAGCCGAGAGAGAGAGAGAGAGAGTTGAGAGGAAGAGAGACTGTGAAGTTTACTTTTAGGAATTAGGGATTTGATATATTACTATATACCCAAATTCCTCCTAAAAACGTGGGCCATGTTTTTAGTCAAAAGAAACTTAAAAAAAGAAAATATATAGAAAAGGAGAGGGAGACAGAAGGTGGTGTAGGTTGCTTTTAGGAATTAAGGACTTAATATATTAGTATATAGCCAAATTCCTCCTAAAACGTGAGCCGTATTGGACTTGATATATTAGTATATACTCAAATTCCTCCTAAAAACGTGGGCCATGTTTTTAGCCAAAAGAAACTTTAAAAAAAATTTAATATAGAAAAGGTGAAGGGATAGAGGATCGAGCCCTTAACCTCGGGGTAGACAGGGGCACCAACTTACCAATGCACCAAGGTAGTCAATTGAGCATGAGTGGTCACAAACATATTTATATAGATAATTGTAAAATTGTACTGTTTATACATAGCCTAGGGAGGAGAGCATGGGTGCATGTACCCCACCCCCTCCACGTAAATCCGCCTCTGTTTACCACATCATAATCGTTCCCAGTGGTCAGTAGAAGCTGCCCGGATTCATCACCATGCTCACCAAATGATTCTAGCGATTGAGAAGGGACATCATGAATCGAAGTGTGCAAAGTGACCAATGGTTGCTTGATCATAGGATTTGAACTCATCATCATAGACATCTGAGTGTCTTTAATGATTTTTACAACTTCTGGACTAGAAATATGTAGCTTTGGTGTGCTGGACATTGTGGTTGCAGTAAACAATTGGACTACCCTAGCCTTTGGCGCACCAACAGGAACAATGTCCTTCGAACTAATTATTCGACCACCTGTGTTATTGGAAAATTGTTGTTGTTTGCTACTGCCTGGAGACTTTGGTTGCCTATTTTTTGAGGTTGAATCACGATCAACCTGCTGCTCTCCCTTCCCAAAATCATCCAAAGCAGGACTGGATATGTGTAAAGTTGGAGCAGCTGCAGTAGATGTTTTAATTGCTGGTGCATTGCGATCTTTGGCAGTGTCAATTTCCTGTGAGACAGTCTCTCGAGCCCCCAAGTTCTTTGAGGTTTCCTGTTGTTTCCCACTGCCTGAAACACTGATTTGTCCAGATTTTGACATTGTATTATGATCCACCTGTTGCAAAAATTTTCCAGCCTCCTTCATAACATGTACATGCTCATTGATTAATGCATCAAAAGAATTAGAAACATCAGTCTGCGTTGGTGCTATAATCTGATTTTTAACAACTGGAGAGTTTTTTTGCTAGGTGATCGATCTACAACTGTCCAAGCCCTATCTTTTGCCTGATCAGCTGCTGGTTTTTTATGCTGCTTAGCTTGTTCAAACACTGCCTTAACCTTCGTACCAGCTGCACTAACCAAAGCAGCTACACCTTCCAGTTCTTTCCCCTCATCTTGCACACCAGTAGGTATTAAGTCCACTGTTGTTTTAGCTGTATCAGTAGCCTTAGTAACCCCAGCAGTAGATGAGGCTGCGTGGTGTACATTAGCAGAAAAATGGGCTGATAAATATGCTGGTTTGTCAGGTAGATCAGCATGTGCAGCGGTAGTTTTGAAATTCCCAGCACTAGGTCGAGTACCATCTGCATTCACTGCAACATTAGTCTCCAAATGTGAGCCTTCAGGAAGTTATAGTTTTTCAGGTTTTTTACCTTGTCCTGCCACTGGTACTGTTGCGTTATTCTTAGCAAAGATTGCTCGAATAGCTGCAGCTAATGCACTATCATCCATTATCTGTTGAAGATGCGCAGGTTCAATTGCTGAACTGTTAGAAGTTCCAGCTAAACCTCGATCGACCACTGTATTGTTTGCAGCCTTCAAGTCTTGAGCAACTCGAGCAAGGGCTTCAGCAACTGGAACAATTGAATCAGAAGAAAGATTTTTCCCATAAGGTGATTTCACTATAACATTTGCTTCCAGGTTTGAACCTACCTCTGCTGGTTCAATTCCGGGTTTTCAAACACTGCAACTGCTGTATACTTCTTATCATTAGTTGCTCGTGCATTCCCAACTTCTGTACTGTCGATCACCCTATGCTGAAGAATTCCAGGTTCATTAACTGAACACTTAGAACCTCCAGCTGCAAGTCGATCACCCATAGGATCTTTGGAGATACTTCAATTCCTGAGAAACAACTTCTGCCAGTGATAACATAGTCATGCCATCTGCACTCCTCTTCTCAGTCATAGGAGCACCACCATTAGAAGTAGACAACACATCAACAGCCTTCTTCTTTTCATCCAACATATTCCTTAGATCTCCTTGATACTTCTCAACAATTTTGCCTTCATACAAAGGATTTTCTCTTTCAGTAAAAGCATGCTTTTGTTGAAGCAAACGACAGCTATTTTCTTCGTGCCCTTGATGTTTACAATACGAACAAAATTGCGGCAAACTATCATACACAACTTCCTGATATTGTTCAATAATCTGCCCAGTTATTTCATAGACACAATGAATCCTTACTCTATTTGGTTTCTTGTCCAGTAGATCCAGCTCAACTTTAATTCTTGCTGTGCTAAGCCTCAATTTTTCTTGTGTGGCTTTATTAACAGCTATTGGTTTACCAACAGCTAAAGCAATTGACAGTAGAGATTTCTTGGCAAATAACATCGGAGGTAGACTAGGCAGCGATATCCAAACAAAGGCCCTAGATGTTTCTTCCTTAGGAATAAAACCAAGAGTCCAAGGGAAAACTCTAAACTGATGGTTCTCACCATTAACGAGCATATAATTAACAACTTTAGAAGCTGCTACCACATAATCTTCATACAAATCAAATCTGATAAGTATGTGTCGTCTTGCCAACCATCCGATCAAGCTGCGTCCTTTAGTTACAAAAAGTTTCGGTAGAAGCTTTCGAAGTTCTTGCATGTCCAGTTGTTCGAAGGAGAATTTTAATACTAGGGCCTGGTGTAAACCTTCTTCGACAGTAAACTGCCTAAGTTCTTCCGTAGTAAATATGACAGTAGGCTCACCATGTATTAGCTCAATAGGTTTAAGCGTTGTTTTTGATGGATTTTGAGTTGTTTGATGCGCGAGCAATCTTGTAGCGTATGTTGTGGATGGATTAGTGTTTGCTTTTATGTCTCCCAACTCCATTGGAATTTCTGGATTTTGGTTAGCCATGACTTTGTCATTTTGTCGAGTACCTTGTGTCTCAGTTAGATTTGTGATCTTACAGGAGAATTGATGATACCCATGGCCAAATGACGCCTTGGTTGTGTTCTCCACTTCAGTAGGAAGCGATTTGCAGTGAGTTTGATGCAATTTTACGCCTGAAACTCCATTCCCAACCAGTTCTGATTCCCCGTCAATTTTCAGAGCAGAGGAGGCGTTTCCCATGGTGGAAATGTCTGAAATTTTGTTATGATGTGCGCCTGATGACGGGGAAATTCTCCATGACGTGGAATTTTATAATTCGTCCCAGAAACGGCCTGTGAAATTGTTGAAGCGCTTAGGCGATGAACTACTACAATGCTTGCATTATTGTGTTGCAGATTTGTAGCAATTCCGGGTTTGTTTTGGGACGATGTTTGGATGGTTGTGTGCACCTTTAGTAGACGCTCCTTTTGGCCCTGGTCCGGTGGTTTTTCATGGCCGGACGGTGATTGTGGGGCCATTTCGGCGCTGCTGTGACACTGTTCATCCGTGTCTCATTTCTGCTTCTTCCACTTTCTCCTTCAGGTATTTAACTTTATTTTGTCCATGTTTTTCTTCTTCTTCTTTCTTTTGTAGTTCTTCCTTTTTCTTTTTCTTTCTCGCTCTTTTTCTTTTTCTTGTGGGGTGAGGATTGAGTTTCACCATGGAGACTGAAAATATAATTGTTAAGCAATGAAATTGGTTTGTATGTAGTTTACCTAGGGCTCAAATTTGATTTGTGGGGGGTTAGGAACAATTGTGCATGTTAAGTGTTTGGGTAAATGCCACAATGAGGTTGAGAGTATAATTTTGTGATCAAGTGTGAGGGTGAAGTCTGAGTAGCTTTTCTTGGTCCGCCGAGTGATTTATTTGCTTATATTTGGCGGGTTGTTTCAGGTGCAAAGGCTCCCTCCAAGAAACAAAAAACTGCAAGTGTCTCCACCGGTGGTCAAGCGGGCACATCTAGGTCGCGAGCTTCTGCATTCGCTCGTCCATATGATCAGAATAAGTTTATCTCATGGGAAGCCCAACAACGATTTAATAGAAAAATAGGCAAAAAGCCCATACCGGAAAGGGGAATCGATATTGGGTCTCTCCAAAATGATTGTCCCAGAGTGTATGAGGAATTGGTCAGGCGAGGAATGAGGGTGTTCTTCGAAGGACCTAACGAGGAAAATTTAATGGTTGTTCGGGAGTTCTACGCAAACTACCCGGAACATGAAGATCATGACTGTACAGTCCGGAAGAAAAAAGTGGACTTCTCCAAAGAGGCCATCCAAAGGGTCTATCACTTGCCGGAGTACGTGGAAGACCTTGATGCAGACAACTAATACTTGGCGTACAACAGGGAACCATATCCATGGCTCACGTTCTTTGCGACCATTTGTATGCTCGGGAAGGAGGTGGTGTGGTTGATCCACGGCAACAAATTTCACTCTGATTCACTCACTTTTGAGGGAAAGTGCTGGCTTTACATAATTAATAACCGCCTAATGCCTTCAGGCAACACTATTGAGGTGAATGGTTCCCGGACTGCTCTGACTTGGTGCTTTGTCACTGGCCACGACTTTGATATGGCTAAGGTCATTCAACATGAGATGATAATTCATTGTCCGGTGCAGAGGTATGGGTTCTTTTTCCTGTCACTAGTCACTCGGTTATGCTGAGAGGCACGAGTACCAGAAAACAAGGCTACGGATGGGAAAGTAAAGCACGAACAGAAATTTCAGGCTGATAAAGTTGTAATTGGGAAGGAACCTGCTGGGGCTGTTGAGGTGGATAGTGAGAAGTCCGATGCAAACAACGGGGTGAGGGAGGAGCACGGTGAGGATGTTGTTGCTTCTCCCCCGCATGAGCAGGGTGTTGGAGAACCTTTATGCGGCGGATGGGAAACGAGAATGGTTGCATTAGAACAAGAGATGGAGGGGATGCGTACTTCAGTCACTGATTTGGGAGCTCAGGTGGACTCCCTTGCTACACAGAATGCCAAGTCTAAGAAGAAGATCATGGCATGGCTGCGTGCACTTGGCCGGGCTTGTCATCTGGACCCCGACACCGTTTCCGACACGGAGTGACCCGATCAGGGGAGTTTTATTCACCCTTGCATTTAAATTTGGTGACATGGAGACATGCCACTAGTCTAGTGTGGGGGTGGGGGTAGTGTAAATAGCATTGTTTACTTTTCTTTCTTATTTGAAAAACAAAAAAAAATATTTTCTTATATTTTTTTAGGATAACTTCTTCACTTGTACTTCCATGGGTTTCTTGTTTGGTTCTTTACCATGGTCATAATATTTTGAACCACACACCTTTTAGAGTAGATTTTTGTTACTTCTTTGCTTTAGATTTTTGAAAGGTTGCTTGTGGTTGGCAAAGTTAACTGTTCCTGACTGATGGGATGCATGATCCTGCCTTTATAAGTTAGAGAGACCATTGGTGACTACGATCTGAATTGTGTGCCAATCCGAGACACTATGTGGGGTGAGGCAAATGTTTTCTTAGTGATCATGCCTGACAAGATCTAAAACTTGGCTTGGTTGTAACTCAAGGCCAAATCTTAGGTAATAGTCGAGTTTGGAGATGACCGTAGGCTTTCTTTGATAGCTTCTTGTTTCTTCGACTGCTTTGAACCCTCCTAAGAACTGATAATTTATCCCTATTCAACCTAGTTGAGTCTAATTCCCTCTTTCTTTGGCAACCACAATACGATTTGAGCTTGTAGCCATCCCCAAGCACTTGAGTGCCTTGTGTGTAATGCTAAATGATGAAAAGACATAAGTGTGGGGTTGGGGGGCTGGTTTTGAGTGGAACCAAGGTTAAGTAGAAAAAAAAAATGCAACATCATGAATGAATGTGAGGCACGAGAGCAGGGGATTCTGAAAAAAAATGAAAAGAATCGGAAATAGAAGAAGAGAAAATTTTGCTCATGATGAGTAAGGAAAGAAAGTGAATATTCCCCTGTTGACGTAAAATACTTGTATGTTGCGCTTAAAGAATTGAGAACTGGGGTGTGTTTTTGATTGGGGAGTTCGTGGACAATTGTCAATGAAAAACGAGTAGGACAAGTATGAAGTTGTTGGTATTAAAATGCTTAGGGAGGTGTAACTACTCTTATACAGATTATATCCAACACGTCCCATAGCCTACGTTACAACCAAATACAAAGTCCCACATGATTTAGATGAGGTTGTTCCTACATTAGTGGAGAGTTACACGATAGCCAAGCTTATGGTACTTTGGAAAGAATGAGTCACTTCTTTGTGAGGGTGAGCGATTGTTGTGTACTGCCCGAGGCCGTTAATTGAAATTGTTGTGTGAATGGCTATTATCTCTTTTTTATGAGGTGTATCGAGGATTTGGTGTCTATTTGACCACAACACTAGTGGAGTGTTATGACCAGGGTTGAGGTTGAATATGACCCCAAGATGGTATCTAGTTAATTTAGCTGGCCACTTGTCTGAGATGGTTGCAATATTAGGAGAATTTTCATTTTAGATTTGCTCGGGACTAGCAAAAGCTAAGTGTGGGGGTGTTTGATGAGCTTAAAGTTACTTATTATTTATGCCTACTTTGCGTCTTTATTTTGGCTGATTCGATAGAGATTTGGTCGGATTTGGGTCTAATATGTTGTCTTTCAGTGCAGATGATGCGGAGGGGATCAATGGACGAATAGTGCACTTAGTGGGAGGAAAAAGAGTCGAGCAGGAGGAAAACCTAGGTGTGCAACCGCGCACGAGCGACCCCCAGCATGCACTGGTGCACGCAAGTGACATAGTATTCTTCCAGAGGTGTGCGACAATGAGCGCGGTCACACCTCAAGGTGTGCGGCCGCGCACGTCTACCTTCGGGAATTTTACCCAGACCTATTTTTGTAAATTTGGAGGCGGCCCTTGTTGACCTAAATGAAGTCTAGGTCGTCTCAAAACAAGTATCTAGGGATTTTGGGAGCAACCTTTGGAGATAAGAAGGCAAGAAAACAACGGAGACTCGAAATACTTCATCCAATTCATTCAATACAGAAGTTTGTTTGATTTTGCAAATTGTAATGTCTTCTTGTTCTTCTAATACTCTTGTGATAAACAACTTCTCCACTATGGAGTAATCTTTCTTAGGGTTATTGACAGATATTGTGATTAGACTATTGTTGGGGCTTTCTGTTCGTTGCCTGAATTCGGTGAATGAGTTATTAATTGATTGGGAATGCCAATTGTGGTTATACTTTAATCGAAAGATAAGCGTTGCTGCAATTCACATTTTGTTATCTTATTTGGGTTGATTTTACGCCTCTCATAGGTAATCGAAAGAGCTCGGAGAGTTATCAATTGACCCGATTTGGAAGAATAGTCGAGAGACGTTCTTCGTAAGATCATTTATTCAATGTATTTTTGCATATGTTCATAGAACCTGTCATTAGGTTGGTTAACGGATCTCTCATTCATTCGGAAGAAGAATTTGAATCCTTAAGATAGACTAATCATTTGTTGAAATCGAAAGAGTCAATAGAAGTTAAGAGTGAAATTAGCACAAAGTTACCTAGAATAATAGTTGATTACATATCTTATCACAACCCTTACTTCTCACTTTGATATTCAATCGTTGCTACTTAGTCACTAAATTTCCATTATTTTCTCATAATCAATAATCTTAGTTTTTATTATTAGTCGGTAATAACTTAAATCAAAGGTTTATTTTACTAAATAGTGTTAAGCTGAAGATTTATTAGAACATTATTTAAACCAATCCATGTGGATACGATTTAATACTATACTATCTTTGACTAGCAAGTGTAAGTTTTATACACCGGTTTTGCGCTCATCAGACTATGATCAATATTTTGTGTAAATGACCCTGAATCGGTATTTTGATCATCCCAATGTGCATGTATCGAAATTTTGGACTTGGCGTATGCCGAGAATTGAATTTGGAAGTCTCTAGGTTGATTTGACTTATTTTACCGAAAGCTAGTAATTTGAACGTTTGGAAACTTCCTAGGTTTGACCGTAGATTGATTTTATGACTACCGGGTTCAGATTTTGATTCCTTAATTTGGTATAGGCCCGGTTTTCTATTTGAAACTTGTCTATAAAATTTGATGCAAATCGGATTTGGTTTGATAGGATTCACATGCTTGATTGTGATTTTAGAGTTTCTTGAATTTTCTTTGAAATTTCATGCATTTTTATGTCCGATTCATAGTTTTAGATGTTATTATGGTGTATTGATTGAGCAAACGATTTGTGTGATGTTATTACACTTATGTGCGTGTTTGGTTTGGAGCCCGAGGGGCTCGGGTGAGTTTCGGATAGGTTACTAACCATTTAGGACTTAGGAATTGCTAGTTTTCAGCTGTTACTGATGTCTGGTGCTTTGTGTTTCGCGATCGCGAAGCTACTATCATGATCGCAAAGGGGAAATTAGGACAGGGGCAGATTTATTCTTCGTGAACGCGAGGAACTGGTCGTAAATGCAAAGTGGAGGGGAGCTTACCCTTCGTGAACGCGACAGGCTTTCCGCGAACGTGAAGCTTTGTGGGGACCTGGGGGAGGTTGGGTTGTTACTTTACGCGAACGCGGGTTGTGGCTCACTAACGCGAAGGCAACACGGGAGCTAAGCCTTCGCGAACGCGATGGCCATTTGGCCAGTGTTCTTCATGAACGCGTCAGGTGTTTCACAAACGCAAAGAGCAGCCGATGCCATAGT